TAGGTTTTCCTTTCCTATCTTCCGCAACAATCTTTTGTTTTTCTGTGTGTATTAATTCTTGATATAAATCAATAAGAATTAAAAAGTTGAAAAAATCTGTGTAATTGTATTCAACCCCCCCTTCTACAATTACTTTCTGCTTATTGCCTTGCCCTTCGGGACTAACAAGTACCATAGATTCACATTAGTTACATAGATGGAGTCTTATTTCCATTTTTAAGAGGGAAAAGAGAGCTGTGAGCCAGACTTACCAAATAGCTTTCATATTTTTTTTTTCTTTGTTCCCCTTTGCGCCTGTTTTTGAAGCACGGTCGCAAGCACTCTCTTTGTTGTTGTTGAACTCTATTACTTAGATAAATAGGGTCTGGAGCATGGGAAGCTACATTGTTCCAGTGAAGTTCAATTTACATGAGTCATCGTGAAGCAAAGAACACAAAATGACCAAAATAAAACACATCAGATGGATCAAAATCCCAAAACTTGATTAAGCTAATTAGTAAATATTTGAAGAAAAATGCAAACTTTTGATGAACCAATATGATCTCTTCTATTTTTCAAGTTAAGTTTCCGTTAGTAAGTGACAATTTTTGTATATTCATCCTCCTCTCCTTTACTTTCAATTTCAATGATGGATTTGGTCTCTCATACTACTTTTTATTTTATAACAGATCTGATTCCTTAAAATACTTTTCATTTTTATTACATATTTGGTCCCTCAAAATGCCTTTCATTTTTATTACATATTTGGTCTCTTACTTAGGGGTCGTTTACTTAAACATTTACTCGGTAAGCGTTTACTGGTAAAATTCAACACTATCGCTTACTTATCAGGTAAGATTTTATTCACCAAAACGCATCGTATGCAACAATTTATCCCGGTAAGTGCTAACCATGGTAAGAGTTGTCGTTCTCACTTATCGGGTAAGATTCTTGATTCTTGCCTTCGCTCTTATCGGGTAAGATTTTTAGTCATTGCCATATTTATCTGGTAAAGTAATGTGACTTGTTAAACGTTTACCCGGGTAAACGTTTGGTAAACGGCACCTTAAGTTTAGTTTCGAGATTTGGTTATCTCTTTGATAAAAAAAATGGCATAAACATATATTTTTTTAGATAAATAAACAAAATAATTAAATAAAATTTTGTGACATAAACTTTATCTGTATTATATTATAAAACATTTGATAAAAACCATTTTTATGCATGAAATACTGTTTGTTGATGCACGTTACTTAAAGTTCAAGATTGCAAGTAATTATGCGTTAGTACAACTTATTAAAGCTACATATTTGAATTCGTGTGAATAATTGCAGATAAATATAATCAATTACAGGATAAACATCTCATTTTAAATATAAAAAATATATAATATAATTAAGATAATAATTGAGTTTTAACAGAATAATTAATTATTAACTTTATATAAAAATATTATTAAACCAAAATTAAATTATTTCGTTATTAAGCGTAAATTAAATTTAAATAAAAAATTTGAATTAATGGAATTACACAAAGAAACTATAACTTTTAAATAATTAATTTGACATTTTCAAATTTATATTTTATTTAAAAATAAAAAATTATCGTTTTTTTAAAACCATATTATAATATCGATAAAAACAAAAAATAAAATAAATATTAAAATCAAGATACATCTTACTGTATTATGCAAATACCCTTCAAGCATTTTATAAACATTATTTTAATGAAATTTTTTGACTCAAATAAACCATAATTTCGAAGGGTCAATGTTTTCTACTTCCCAAACCCTTGTCTATATAATGACACCGTTATCCCCTTCCCTTTCATCTCCACAAAACCCTAATTCCCAACTCCAACATTTACATGAAGCCCCCCAATGTTTTTCTGATATCCTTCCATTTTCTTCTGTAAATGTTTCTGTCGCAATTGATTTTAGTGTTTGTTATCGGTGATGAAGATCTCAAGGCTTGTTTCTCATGAACATTCGCAGTGGCCGCCTGAGTGAGCTTTCGCCTTCG